TACATAGCAGGACAAATGTAAGCTGTACACCTGTTGACGGAGACAGTCTGACACGTGTATATAGCAGGACAAATGTAATCTGTACACATGTAGACGGAGACAGTCTGACACGTGTATATAGCAGGACAAATGTAAGTTGTACACCTGTAGACGGAGAAAATCTGATACGTGTATATAGCAGGACAAATGTAAGTTGTACACCTTTGGACGGAGACAGTCTGACATGTGTATATAGCAGGACAAATGTAAGTTGTACACCTGTAGACGGAGACAGTCTGACACGTGTACATAGCAGGACAAATGTAAGCTGTACACCTGTAGACGGAGACAGTCTGACACGTGTTTATAGCAGGGAAATGTAAGTTGTACACCTGTAGACGGAGACAACCTGACACGTGTATATAGCAGGACAAATGTAAGTTGTACACCTGTAGACGGAGACAGTCTGACACGTGTATATAGCAGGACAAATGTAAGTTGTACACCTGTAGACGGAGACAGTCTGATACGTGTTTATAGCAGGGCAAATGTAAGTTGTACACCTGTAGACGGAGACAGTCTGACACGTGTTTATAGCAAGACAAATGTAAGTTGTACACCTGTAGACAGAGGCAGTCTGACACGTGTATATAGCAGGACAAATGTAAGTTGTACACCTGTAGACGGAGACAGTCTGACACGTGTATATAGCAAGACAAATGTAAGTTGTACACCTGTAGACGGAGGCAGTCTGACACGTGTATATAGCAGGACAAATGTAAGTTGTACACCTGTAGACGGAGACAGTCTGAAACGTGTATATAGCAAGGCAGATGTAATCTGTACACCTGTAGACGGAGACAGTCTGACACGTGTATATAGCAGGACAAATGTAAGTTGTACACCTGTAGACGGAGAAAATCTGATACGTGTATATAGCAGGACAAATGTAAGTTGTACACCTGTAGACGGAGACAGTCTGACACGTGTTTATAGCAGGGAAATGTAAGTTGTACACCTGTAGACGGAGACAACCTGACACGTGTATATAGCAGGACAAATGTAAGTTGTACACCTGTAGACGGAGACAGTCTGATACGTGTTTATAGCAGGGCAAATGTAAGTTGTACACCTGTAGACGGAGACAGTCTGACACGTGTTTATAGCAAGACAAATGTAAGTTGTACACCTGTAGACAGAGGCAGTCTGACACGTGTATATAGCAGGACAAATGTAAGTTGTACACCTGTAGACGGAGACAGTCTGACACGTGTATATAGCAAGACAAATGTAAGTTGTACACCTGTAGACGGAGGCAGTCTGACACGTGTATATAGCAGGACAAATGTAAGTTGTACACCTGTAGACGGAGACAGTCTGAAACGTGTATATAGCAAGGCAGATGTAATCTGTACACCTGTAGACGGAGACAGTCTGACACGTGTATATAGCAGGACAAATGTAAGTTGTACACCTGTAGACGGAGAAAATCTGATACGTGTATATAGCAGGACAAATGTAAGTTGTACACCTGTAGACGGAGACAGTCTGACACGTGTTTATAGCAGGGAAATGTAAGTTGTACACCTGTAGACGGAGACAACCTGACACGTGTATATAGCAGGACAAATGTAAGTTGTACACCTGTAGACGGAGAAAGTCTGACACGTGTTTATAACAGGACAAATGTAAGCTGTACACCTGTAGCCGGAGACAGTCTGACACGTGTATATAGCAAGGCAAATGTAAGCTGTACACCTGTAGACGGAGACAGTCTGACACGTGTATATGGCAGGGCAAATGGAAACTGTACACCTGTAGACGGAGACAGTTTGACACGTGTATAAAGAAGCACAAGTGTAAGCTGTACACCTGTAGACGGAGACAGTCTGACACGTGTATATATCAGGACAAATGTAATCTGTACACCTGTAGACGGAGACAGTCTGAAACGTGTATATAGCAGGGCAAATGTAAGCTGTACACCTGTAGACGGAGACAGTCTGACACGTGTATATAGCAGGACAAATGTAATCTGTACACCTGTCCTTGTTAATCTGAATATTAGCAGCGAACCTCGTAACAGTTCCGACCTCGTATGTTCGGAAACCCCTCCTTCGGACGATCACCGTGTAATAAATAATGCGTACAGCTAGTGAAACGCCGTTAATCTTGACGATGTATAGTTTCTAGTGAAATCATAGGATTTAACAAATCTGGTTTAACTAATGGGTTATCAATACTTAAAGAAGAACCAACGAAATGCGATGAATTACGGTTGGTTGGTTGGTTTGTTGTTTAACGCCGCACTCAAAAATATTCCAGCTATATGACGGCGGTCTGTAAATAATCGAGTCTGAACCAGGCAATCCAGTGATTGACAACATGAGCATCGATCCACGCCATTGGGATCGATGACATGCATCAACCAAACCAGCGAGCCTGACCACCCTATCCCGTTAGTCGCCTCTTACGACAAGCATAGTTGCCTTTTACAGCAAGCATGGGTTGCTGATGACCTATTCTACCCGGATCTTCACGGGTCGATGAATTACGGATTATTTGTCCCGAGTGAATGCAATTTGGCAGCATTCATTCAAGAGGGACAGAAAATCTATAATTCCGAGTCTTGAGGAGGTTATTCTATAATGTAACTCATTAAAAAAAGTATGAAATGACAATTCTTCAGAGATACTTATTCTATTGTTCAGATGACGTAATGTAATCAATTTGTGATATCATGAACAATGGATGACGTCATAAGGTATTTGCTCAACAATGAAGCACTGTGACGCCATTTGACTTCAACTGACCAATCATCATTGAGAATCATTAAATTGCACACGTGCAAGTGTCGGAAAGTTATTATTCTACCCATCATTCACCCTTATGGGCAATATGGAGTCATAAAATATATGTCCTTTGCATGTCTATAGCTGGGGTGGGCGGTCGGGTAACCTAGTGGTTAAAGCGTTCGCTCGTCACGCCGAAGACCCGGGTTCGAATCCCGACATGGGTACAATGTGTGAAGCCCATTTCTGGTGTCCCCCGCCGTGATATTGCTGGAATATTGCTAAAAGCGGCGTAAAAACCATATTCACTCACTCAATCACTATAGCTGGGGTCCGGATGAACGAGGTTACGTTGTACTTTACTCTGCTGAAAGTAGAACAGTGTGGATCAAATCTCCTACAAATGGCTTTACATTCTACAGTGTGACAGATTAATACCAAAATCGTCCACACATTACATTCATATAAATATTTCAGTGGCGATTTAACAAGAGCTCTTTCAAGAACACAAGCCTATATAAACACAAATGCACAGTTGATACTCAAAAAAATGCAGTATTAAAAATAAGGGTATGGCGATAAGAAAACCCGGTTATGCCCACAGTCGGTATGTGCGGGGGCGGGCGACCACATAGCGACTGTTTTATTCCCTTTGAATACTGGGAGGAGAGGATATCGGTGTAAGTGGCGCGGGGTACGCTGTTATAGTCGTTTGAAAGAACACATTAGATTGCATGGTTCATCAACCGGGGTATGGGCACTATTAGATATTTGAGGTATATTTTGTCATCGGCATATGTAAGTTTTATAGGCCTGGAAAAAAAAAAAAAACAACAACAAGCAAACGTGTTTTCATTCATTGTTTCAGTGTTAATCTTTTTACAAAGTATTTATTTCGCAAAAGTGCGTGATCTATTAAAACTGATGACAAGAAATAGAGACTTCATGGCCAACAATACGAGTGATTAATGCAAGAAAGACAGAAAGCTGTATAGTTCATAGTAAAAAAAACCCAAAACAATTAATTCCAGGGTCAAAATATATACCAGTTCAATAGTCGGGACTCAATACCTATATCTTTCGGAAGATAATTGAAACAAAAAAATCTATGATTATGGATCGATGCCTTCGTGCAAAAAAACAACATTTAAATAATTACCGATTTCTGAATCAATCCTTTTTCAATGCCAGAAAATATGTTTCCTTGATATTTGAGGGGATTTAAATGGGTCTTTATCTAACCACAAACATAGCTATAGCTGTCAATAAAATATAACTCAGTGGGATATAGTCTCTAGAAATGACGAGGTCTTTACACAGTCATAATTTTTATGCCTAGTGGTGTAGAACGGATTTACAAAACTGTTTTCCTTATTACGTATGAAATTTTATTTTGTTATCATATAGCCATATTTTTTAAATCTTAATTCAAGACAACAAACAAACCAGGAAACAAACAAAAAAATAATTTTCTCTGAGAAAACAAAACACTGGCTTATATATATATCGTCCTTTTTGTTTCTTGCAAAATGGTCCGCAAAATCTGAGGCAAGCTTTGTTGATTTTACGACAGCCTAGGGTCTCTGTTCCTGATCGTTGTTTAATGAGGTTAAAAACATGCACCGAATCGTCGCTCATTTATTAAAACTGAAGTTAAACAGTGCGGGCTATAAACCAATTCACATTATTCCTCGAAGCGCCGCTAAAATGCTTTTAGTTGTGCATACGCGATAATGTTCCTCGTAGTGGATTACATAAAATCTTCAGATTGATGCGTGTTAGAGCCAGCAGTTTCTTATTGATCATTTCTACACCAATCAGAAGAGCGGAGCTAGTCAGCTGACTATCGCGCTTTTTTTAGTAGCGACGTATATGGCAATGTCATAGACTGTCTGCATTCCAGACATAGTAAATCACTACGAAGAATATTTCGTAAACCGCTTCGGATTTTACACTCTACAACGTTGGTTTTGCGGTAACAGTTACATGCAAAGTCTGAAATGTAAGTAGTTTATATAGTTCCATAATTTTCTACAAAATATACTGAAGCACAATACACCGTTTGGATGCAACTTTAAGAAATATGCTTCCGCAATTATAAATTCTCCCTAGTAGTCGGTTGGCAGCCTGCCAGCAGCTGTTGATTTGTTTATTTTTACTTTCCCGCGCCTTGCCAACGGCCGTTTCACGGAGCTGCATGCGCATGAGAATATAGTCCCCCCATGTTTTAATTTTGAACAATTCGGTAGATGCTTTGCTGCCTCATCACCACTGCTAAGAAGCTTTAGAAGATAGATACACATCATAAGATGTAATTTTCCATTGTTTAAATATTACAGCTTTTGCCAGACGGACCCCCCCAGTGGACCATATCTGTTTGGTGTGAATCGGCCAGCCCAGCTGTTTCCCGCCAATTATTACTCATTCTGCTAGCGTATCGCAGGGTTCTACTGTCTTACAACCGTAAATATTCTCGTATTTTGAGGATATTTCTGAGTGATTCTTGTTTCTTGTGGCAAAGATGGCACTTTATTCACGGAGTAACGATAGGAGAAGGATTATGGAAGAAATTCGACTGCGAGAGATGGATATTGCAGCCGCAATCGGAAAGTAAGTTGTAGTATTTGCCTTACACATGGTTTACGTTATAAACATTGGCGTACGCACGCATGCCGCGATCTTGTTTTGAAGTTCTTCGTCTTCCTAAGGTCGTTTATGATGTACAAAGTATATGATAAGATTCTTAGTGACTGTTTTCATCATAATTTACAACATTTGCCATCTTGTTAAGTCTGATTTTGCGAGAATGGCGATGTAAAGAGAGCACTACGCGACAACCACATGATGGCCATTACAAACAAAGGCCCATTCACCAAGCCGCACGGCGCGCTTTACTCGGTAGCGTGGTCGACAATGTTTTTAAACTTGCCATGTTTTGCTTTATATTGCTTTTATTTGACCATAACATGGATCTACTATAACATAGTTGTATGTATTTTTGTGGTGTAGTTTTGCAAGATGGCACGTTGTGTGGTGTGATCAGCTGATTAGCCTGATGTTTGGTTCTGTTGACATGTGGCTTGCGCGGCCTGTTCGGCGGCCATGTGTAAGCGCCGATCAGCTGAGCGAAACATTTTCACTCGTTATTGTGAAAAAAGCAACCACTAAATGTAGGCTCTCATTTTCGATTTCGGTTTTCTTATTTGTTTTCGAAATAATATTTGTTTATATCTCGGTACGTTTCTTGGGCTATCGTTTATTTAGTTTGAATATTTGACTACCATGTGATGAGTAAGCAAGGCGTGCTGCGTCACATCAGCTGATTTCTGGAATGGGCTGAACTGACATGAGATTCAGTTTGCAACCCGCATTTCGTTTTTAAATTTATTTTCGTCAGACCTAATTCACTTGTGGTTTTAATCAGAAATAGAATATAGATCTACATATTTTTAATTTTCCACTTCATTTTTTTTTTCTTGAAAATGTATTCGTCTGTCCTACACCTAGGCCAAGATCTACCTTATTCAGTTTGGGATTTGATTTACAGTTTAGATCGTTTTATTTTATGAATGTGCTTGGAATAAGACACCTCTTTTCGGCATAAATAATATTCATAAAAAAAATGTCTGCGCACATTATTTTCTTTATTCGAACCTTTTTTCGACAATAGGTGTAATTTGGACTCAAATCAATTTATATCTAAAGTGAATATATTTTGTTCAACGAACAATATCCCGATAACGTGGTCGTCATTAGCTAGCAATATTAATAAGGCGGGTCTGTAGTCACGAGGTTTCTTTGGCTCTCGGCCAAATATTGTAGTCGGGACATACTTTATACGTTTATTGCGCAAATCACCACTTTCGTACATCGGACAATAGTGTTATACTTCCTCAAAGTTAAAATAAACAATGTCACAAGAAATGTATGCGGTACGTGTCTTAAAATCCCCATAACATTAAAGGAAATTTCGTCCGGGCAAAACCATGAAGACCATGCCTTCTCTTGGCGTGATGCCAGAATTTGTTAGCGACTTGTTGGCAGGCTGCCAAGCGACATTTCGTGTCTGGCTAGACCAGAAGATCAATAATACAACATCGATCGATGTGGTCGCTCTCAAATGGGATTATTCCATTCATTTACAGCGAGAGTAAAAGTGGAATGTTTTTAGTAAAACTGTTATTTTTGAAAGATAAACATCCCTTCTGGCATTTCAACTTGAATGGACTGATCACCTTCAGACCATATATTCATAGAATATAAAATTAATGTAGATCTACACCTACTACGCGATTATTCGTATTTTATCTGTCGAATACCGAAATAAAAAAACATATGACAAGATGGACAAAATACAACAGGTTTTAGAAATTATGAACCGTATTGTAAAATTCAATTTCTAACTCTGTTGAGTCTACTTTAGGTCTACTATAAAATTCACATTTAATTTATGGAAATGCAGTGTTTGTGTTTTAAATGACAGTGTGCAAAATATTTCATTCCTTTTCAATGTGTTTGTCCGTATGTGATTACGTTTCGTTCACATATAAACATTTGTTTTCTAGGCAAAGAGAATGTTCCCCAAAGGGACACTTAGAAAATGAGAAGAGAGTCCGCCGAGAAATAGCAAACAGCAATGAACGTCGCCGAATGCAGAGCATCAATGCCGGTTTTCAGTCCCTGAAAACTCTCATTCCCCATCACAATGGTGAAAAACTCAGCAAGGTGAATATTGCCACGTTTTCATTCGCAAAAACTCACATTCCACTGCGAACGCTCAATCAGGATTTACCGTTTCATTTAGAATAGTACGCAAGGGACTATTCAATATATTGAAAAAAAGATTTAAAAATTAAATCTCTTGTTAACATTTAACAACAACAAATCCAAGTTTTCTATTAATCCAGAAACCACATTAACCGCTTTTATTGTAAACAATCGAAAAGCCAGTGTTGTTGTTTGACATTAGAAATTGTCAAGGTGCCTTGTTAGTGGGTTAGTCTGTAAAGATTCCAGCAAAGCGACTGAGGACGCCCTTGCCATGTAAGGCAGACAGCAGCCAATGAACATGTGAAACACAACCCACTCCCTCGCACGCTACACTAGCTTGCGCCAGCCGCAGACAGGCGGAGTGAGTGGGTACATGCACATGGCATATAGGTCATTGCCACCAAGAGTTCACTCCCCTTGCTCTGTCTGCGGTTCTCTGCAAAGTCTTTTAGAGTTCTATATTTCTTTAACTCGTTTAAAAACATGTCATTAATTATTATTTTGCATATTATTTGAGTAGCAATTTTGTGTTTCTTTTTTCTTTCAAATTATAAAAAAAAGCAATAATTGTTGAAAAAATAAGTTATGACAGTGGATATTTCTTATTCAAAGGTTAAAATTTAGTCGATTCAGAATATATGTTCTCTTTTGGGGTTATTCATTATAGATTTATCTAGACCTGCCCAGAGGCCGTCACAAGTCTGCAGCAAATGTCATTAAAATTGCAATTAAAAGTTTCCCAATTTATGTTAAATATTTTTATGGCTTTGTAAAAATAACCTGTATTTCACTGACAACAGGGTAAATAAATAGCATGGGTTTGTAAAGCAGTTATATGTTATTGTATTGAAAGCAGCCTCAAAGGCAATGTTAAAATGGGCTGACCTCTGAAATAATAAAAAAACTTTAAAAATCCCAATTTTAAACAAATGTATATTTTACCAAATTGCCTGCCAGGGACACTTAGTTTAAAATCCTGGTGAAATCCTTGATATATGTCAATCACTGTATTGTCTGGGCAAGCCTCAATTATTTCCACTCCCGCCATTATATAACTTAAATATTGTTGAGTGCGCCGTTAAACACACAAAAAATGTTTTGTATCTTATTACCATTTCAAAGTTACTGATCATGCTGATGTGTTATATTCTCACAGTAATAATTTTATGAAATTTGAACAGGAAGTTTGAGTTACAAACTGATTTCTGTTTCCATTGACCCAGTCACAATACCCTTTTTTACTTATATCATGCCTTGGAAATCTTATTCACCATTTTATTTGTCCAAATACTGTGAATGGTTTACAAATATGTGACATACTTTCTAACAAAATACTAAAGGGTTTCATTCTTAGTCTCAGTACTATCCCATTAAGCAACCTCTTTTCATACTCCTTCGCTGTATTTAATGGCCCACTGACATTTCAACTGGGACTAGGATCGTGTATTGAGATATGCTGAAGCGCTATGAATGGCATGGACAGAACACAAAACCTAGATATCACCACTCCCACATTCCACATGAGCCTCAGCTCCTTGCACTGCCATTTGAATCTTGTAACTTCCTGTGTTGCCAAGGTCACGGGATCAAGTCCCCTCGTGACTTTGAGTTTTACACTGTCATCCTTTAACACGGTTATGTTATCATTAGGACATAGTTAGATATTACTAAATAGTTGGTAAATAAGTCAATCACATAGACATGAATATGATTGAATAAAACATTTTGTTAACACATGTCATTTTTTAGGTTTTATTTTGTGATGTTTTATATAATTAAATAGATGATAAACATACTATTCTCAAAGAGTAACCTTTTATAAATTGGGTTATTAAAATTCTAAAAACGATTAAGTAGATGGTAGAGCTTGCAGAGAAATTGAAGAATGTATACTGGTATGGCTATCAGATGAATCAGAAATGATATAATCATTTCTACATTCCTGACAGTCTCCTATCAGAGTTATTTCCAATTTCACCTCCACTGTGGAACTCGTATCAGCGTCATTAATTATCACAATGAATAAGGCTGTAAGTATGCAGTAATTGTGACAAGGTCAACTCAATATCATACGTAAATATCACCAAGTGACCTCTGGCAATATAAGCATGTGTTACAGCTGGATCAGATGGTCAGAGAAAGTAGTCCGGCTGATTGGATATAGTCTGATAGGTCCAGGTGCTATTTTGGTTGACTGAGTCATCTGACTACTTGCCAAAGTCTGACGGCCACTGTGAGATCTGATAGGTTTATCACTGCCTAGGAATGTAAACATATCACAGTGTTTGGTTCATTCTGTCCAGATAGACACAGGCTTGTTTGATACATTCCTATATAATTGAACAGTGTTATGCTAATTATTCAGTGAGAACTTGTGAATATGCCTGAAATTTAAATTCATTGAGGTTAGATTAATTAATCACTATTATTTATTATGAATTAATGTTTGAACTAAAACATGTACTGTTAAATGACTTTAGGCTGGGTTACCTTGGTTTATTTGTATTGTGAAAAACAGCATTAGACAATAGTACAAACGTTGGATGTAACGTTAATTTACACATTTCCAGTCTTTACAAAAAACTATTTGAGTCTACTGGTCCACATTATTTCAGATGATCATTAGATTTTAGTGTTATAGGATGGTATATGGACTAATTTTAGCTTCAATTGCTTGACAGAAGATATTTGACTTATCTCTAATACTTGTGGCTAATATGGCTGCTAGCCCCACACAATTAATTTTCCCAGCTAATTACATTAGCATGTGTATGAGAAGGTGGCGACATGTCTTTATCCAACAATCTGGAGCTTTGAAAAAACTCCAATTGTTCCTGATTGTGTTTATTTGGGTCAGTAGTAGCAAGTCGTTGACAGGAATGTGTCTGTGTTCCCCCAGCACACACAAGCTGTATTTGGCAACAGTCTCTAGAACATCCTCCACACTAGCCGCTGCCTGTACACTCACACTATCACCTCTTGCGCAACATGTAACTCCTCGATCAGGCTAGATTTGATTCAGCCCTGGTGATAAAAGTATGTGTGAACTAACTCCTTGTTTCCACAGTCTTGTGACCCTAGGAGTGGCTTGCAGTGATAAGGGATTGCTAGCCAGACGTGTGGACGAAGCTTGAGTTTGGACTGCGCAGGTGGAATAGTATTTGAATGGGTCAGACTGTGTAGTAAATAGTACCAAAACCAGATGTGTGTCAATATTTGTCATCAATCATCTGCGTTCGGACTATGGAGTTTCATTTATTATAGATTTAGTATTATTTGACTGAGATACCATTAACAATTTACAGTGTCAATTAAACACACGTTATTGGCCATAATGTGTTTTAATGTATGGCGCTTTGTGATACTGTAATATTGTCAGGTCAAATTGTTTTTGTACAGACCAGTACAAGATATTCATCTTAGTAACAGAATTAGATGCTTTTTAGAAATATGTGTTAACATACAGTAGTAAATCAGTGGTTTTGCTAGAGACAATGAAATTACATCATTTTGGCAACTTTTCATGTAATCTTTTTTATCACCAAATTTGAAACTAATCTTAGGGACACATTGGATAACAATCAAATCAATGCCCCCCCAAAGCCCCAAAAGACCTAAACTACATGAGCAAAAAAATGCTGGCCTGAGTTTACCTTTTGAATCGTTTTCAGTTGATTTACTTACATATGGCTCACTTGGCAGTAGACCAAAAACATCTTCAAGGTTCATACAGATTTGTAAAGCCCTTGAATTTTAAGGTCCTTCTTGATATATTTTAGCCTTGATTTTTAGCATCAACCTTGAAAAGCCTTGAAAATCTCAAAAATGGCTTGAAAAACCTTTAATTTGTACAAAATCATGTATACTTGTTCATGAAAGTATTATGATTCAAGACAGACATAATTTCTTTTTATTTGTTGGTTGTGAAAACATATTTTGTTGGAACATTTGTGATGTTCATACTGGTTTTTAGGTCTTGGGATGAATGTAAAGTGTGCTGGATTGAAAATAACCCAAACATATTGACTGACTAAGGCTGATGACCCAGCTAAAAAGCCTTGAAAACGACAGTTGATAGCCTTGAATTGTAGTGTTCCATATTTGTGTTAACCTTGATCTCACAATACCTTGACTCAGACCAGTGGTCTGGATGCAGTCTCAGACTGATCTGTACCTCTTTTCTTTTTTGCTGTTGTAACTTTTGAGACAGCCAGACCATGAAGCTTAACACAGAAGCTCCTGAACATTACTCTTAAACATTTATTTGCAGATTTACACGTTTGTCATTAATATGTAATTGTTGAACTCACGACTGACTGAACTTACAAAGAAGTTTCAAAAATCCTCTATACAGTGTCTTAAAATGCCTTTCAGGTACAAGGATAGGCCGGTTTGTCGAACCAATCATAATGCCATTCATTGTAAATAGTCGACATGCCATCGACTTTTATATGATAATGAAGTCGGAGTGTGGGAACAGTCTCGAGCTGGCAGGTCCATTCATGCACAGCCTGTGGTGTTGAAAGCTACTAGTGAACTGAACGACCCTACAGTGTATGCTTCACTGCATCCACAACTTGTTCCCCTATCCATAGGTGGTATTTAGGTCAGACGCATACTTGACAGTTATTTATAGTAGCTGGTTAAACATGGTTGTGTTTTTTCCAGGCTGCAATCCTTCAACAAACTTCAGAGCATATCAGCAGTCTGGAGACGGAGAAGACCAAGCTCCTGGCCCAGAATGCTCATTTGAAGAAAATCCTCCTTGAAGTTTCCAATGAAAGGGATGAGTACTTCAATGAATCTCCACCTCCAAAAAGAAAGAAAAGAGATACAGGTATATAATTGGCAATAAAATATAAGTGCAACTTTCATTAACACACACACCCATAAAAAAACATCCATCAGACATCCAGGCATACAATGAGTATTTTTCAGAAGCACATTTTTTCATGTACAGTTATGTAGAGGAATAATGAATACCATTAGAATTGACTTAATTGAATTCATAGGATCTCCTGTGCTTCAGCCGAGCTGGTCATTGACCCCAGAAAAAAACTAATGACCCTCCATTATGGGGTTATATGGGGCTATATGGGGTCCCCCCTGGCCCTTTATCTTTTATTCCTGGCTCATCAAGTAATGAAATCAATCTGGAGATATGGATGTTATTTGATGTGTCCTCTTAGTGGAATGTGAAGACAGGACATTGAGATACTTCATAGTGGTTATGTGCACCTGAGGCCTGTGAATGAAAAGAGGGTCCAAACATGCTGGCCAGCAGTAGAAACTAACATTTTTAGTCCACTAGTCCCTATAATGAAAACAAATAGCAAAACACATAAAAATGGCATATTTCTATTAGTCCTTATGATACCTTAACTATTGGGCAGTTTGGCAAGGACTACAGGACTAGTGCCAATTTCTAACCGTGTTGGCTTGTTCGAGACTAGTAACAATCAGGAAGGAATAGGGACATTTCCTTGTCGGCTATCACTTTTACCATTCACTTATGGCAGCTCTGTAGCAGATCATTTTTGTTGACTAGTGAAAATAAAAATGCATGTCTAACTCAGATTCTTACTGTCAAAAAGTATACATTTTTTTACAGTTATTAACTTACCTGAAGACATCTTTGACAGATAGATACGTTTTGAGTGCTTAATATTTCCCTAGTCGTGCTGGAATAGTTCCATTATTTGTGTATGCTCCATTCAATAAACAATTGGACCCTTGAAGATTGGGGTTCAGCAACCTATGTTTGCTGTAAAGGCAACTATGCTTGTCAAAAGATGCGACTGTTGGGGTTGATGCATGTCATCGTATCACAATTGCGAACATCGATGCTCATAGTGTCAATCACTGGATTGTCTGGGCCAGACTCGATTATTTACAGACCACCGTCATATAGCTGGAATATTGCGGAGTGCAGTGTTAAACAACAAACAATAAACACTTGACATCCTCTTCCCTGTGTGTATTCCTACTCGGATCTGTCTATGTAGTAATGTATATGAATGAGGGTATAAATGTTACGAAGCTACAAGGATGTTCCCTTATCTTTCAGAATCGTCTGATGAAGGAATAAGTTTAGGGAGTTCCATAGACAGCAGCAGCGAAGAATCAAATGAGGAACTACAAAGGGAGATAATTGAACTGCGTCGACAGTTGGACCGAGAACGGTGGTTACGTATGATGTATGAAGAGCGACTTCGATCAGTTGAGAGCCAGATCTACCCTGACCGCATCCGTCACATTGCAGCCCATGTGCAAGCCTCAATTCACATACAGAACGAAAAGGCTTTGGTAAGTATCTATAAGCAGTGACATCTGTCTCATCGTCATCACCCAAAATATAGATATTTATTAATTAATTCATTTCAATATTTTAAGAATGTCAATTAAAATAAAAAAATTCTGTAATATGACTACCACCTGTTCACAAAATACAACCAGTTGGTACAAGAATCACATGTATATTCATAAGTTTTTATGTTTCTTGATCTTGCTTTCCTGTATACATATTAGGGCTATGTTCTATTGGATTTGAAATGTTTATCATTTCCGTGTATTTATTTTACTTATTCTTCCTTTCCCCAGAAGCAAGCCAATGTGACAGAAGTGTCTGAGGATAATGAGAAAGTAGACATCAAAGAGGAGGATCCCAAAGCTGCCTTGGAATCATCAATGTCACGGAAAAACTTGGAGACAATTGTGGAAGCTATTCGCCATTTGGAAGGTGACAGGATTCTTTTTGATGAGCGGAAAGCAGACGAGAAACAGCCAATTCCAAACAGTGAAGAAAGTGATGAAAAGGAAAGTTGTATGAGTGACCAAGAGGATACTAAATCAGACATTTCAGGTCGGGATTCCCCACTGAGATATACACAGCATCAGTTACCGAGTGCGGTTCGGTCAAATTTCAGTGATAAGTACCCCATCGCGACAGACTTGCTGCATCGGCCTCTTCAGGCTCAATACTACAGACCAGGCGTGATTGTACACAAGTCATGAGACTAGCTTGGGCTGTTTAAGACTCTGTACATACCCAGCATTGCATCATCATCATCATCATCATCGACTTCATTTTCCTGTACATTATTCGCTTCATTATGACAAAAGTGCTATTTCATTGTTCACTAATAGTCATTTTGTCCCCATTTATCATAAGCATTGGATCACATGTCACGCATTTCATTGCTTCATTGCGCATTCTTTGCGACCATTTTGTCAGGCATTTTCATTGAATCACAGAGTTAATATATTTATATTTATGGAAGCTTCATTTTTGATACATTGTTTGTTTTGTATTGTTACTGTATTGCAAAACATTAGGTCATTGTCAAATCTTGCGTTTCTCTTGCATCTTTGGTCGCCATGACGACATTTCAAACATAGATTCTGTTGAACATTCCAACTGTGAGACAGCTTTGAACCAAAAATATGACATCAAGCCTGGTGTAACTGTTACAGTATTGTCATAAGTAATCATTCAATTTTCATACAAGTAAAAGAAAACACAGTGTGCTAACTTATATGTATGCATAACGTCATCAATCTGGAGACTGAAAATTCAACCCTGGCATTTAAAAATTTGTCAACACACGTTAAAGGTAAAGACAGTATCAAAATGTTGACAAATAGTGTTCAACAAGTTCTCATTTGAACTTGTTCCCTTCTGTGTATAAATGTATATAGGAAGTTTCAATTACAGTGTTCCTGGGAATTGTCTTGAATTGATGTTATTGTAGTTTCACCTACTGCTTCATCTGCTCTATGGTATTTCTATACATACATTATGTAATGAATCTGGGTGGACATGTTTTTTCTAACAAATAAAATCTAGTTTCACCGATGTTCAAACTGTTAAATAACATCTTGTTAACATAAATTGAGAAACATTTCTGACTTTTAAACTTTTCTTTCATTTTCAATCCAAAATGCACATTCTGATATTTTAACTAATGTATTGTGATGCTATTTTCTGGTTTGGCTAAGTTTGTGTATGGGTTAAACAGGTCAATTCCCAGGTAACAGCATGTATATAGTTAAGTCTGTTGTTAAGTATTGTCCCATGTGCTGTGTGTTGATCTAGCAGTAGCACTGGATATCTTCTTGTTACATATTTTAACGTAATTACAATGCACACAACAATGCAATGGTGGTAATTGTTGCCTGGGTAACCGCATTGACCAATGACGGTTTTCCTGGTGGCACTATTGACCAATCAGATTCAATGTTTGATTTTGTTTTCTGACCGTTTCATGTATTCTGCAACCCTTTGTCTGGACACAGCACTAAGCTTGGATTGTAGCACGGTTGGCTGTTGAAGGGTTAATTCTCACCCAATGGATACCAAAAGCATTAACAAATAATATCGCCTCTTACCTGATTATGTCATCAATTAAAAGGAATTTCATTAGTTCTGCAACAAAACTTAAGATTAAATGAGGCGTTTATTTCTAAGGCTACATGTATTCTTTCTTTTCATGTCTCAAAATATTTTTCCTTTATTGAATATGCCATTATTAAAATTTTGGTATAATGTTTGACAAAATTTCTATGGGAGGGGATTTGTGAAGGTCTTCTCACCTTTTTTATGAATTCAGTATCATATTCAGTGGGTGACGTATTGACAGTGCCAATATTATACAAATCTAAGAATTGTAAAGTATCTCTTAGCTTGTAGATTGTCTGAAGATGCAGGAATCTCGTGGCTTGTTATCTATGCAACAAATACTGTGTACTTTCTCAATGTTGTTGTTGTCTTTGGCCAGCACAGGTTAGGATCTGTTGAATTTCACAATGTTCCACAATGTCAAACTGTTGTTACGATGTTTAAGATCATCCAATATTGAGTCGTTTCAATAATTCATTCGTTCACACTTTATTGCCAGATATGAAATATTTGGCTTTTTTACATGAAGACATTTCGAGGTTTATTTTATTTGTTTGTATTCAGTTCTTCTTCTGTAAGAAATTCACAGTTAAATTTTGTTAAGGGTTGATTATTAGTTATGATACTTGTTAAGTTGATTGAATTTAATTACGTTTTTTAAGTTTAGACTGTTAAAAGCAAATTTTGATGGAAATACAAGTTATTTTTTTTATGAAACTTGGTAGGCATGTTGTGTATGACATTAGGCAGAGCGGTGCCTAGCTTGCAGCTGTGATGTTTTTCTGACCGCGTGATTCTTGCATCTTTAGATATGGTAGTCCTAGCCTCCTCCCCTGTGGAGGTGTAGCGCGTCCGTCTGGCCAGCCTCACCGGTCCGATGCACAGGCGGGCAATGTAGCATGTGGATGTATCGTCTGCTTCATGATAAAGTGGTCAATATTAAAATGTGTGAAAGAAAATATATCTGTTTGTCTTGTTTACCTACAATCATCAAAAATGGAATAGTTGTATGTATATTTGACACAACCCTAGTCCGGGACTAGTGAAAAGGATTTGTTTGTTTAGTTCACTGTTTAACACCTCGGTCCTATATGACTGTAAATAATTGAGTCTGGACTAGAAATCCAGTGATTGACATCATGAACAGAGCACAGAAAAGACTGAATAGGATTGGGTGTTTCTCCCATGATGTTATGTATTCTGAAATGGATCGTGGACTGCCTGGATTTAATTGATGCGGTCTATTCTTTTTACATATTGAGCCTTCATGTCTAAATATGACAAAAAGACTGTGCAGAGCAGCATCAAGCACAACTCACTTGTCTGATCAGATAGTGAGTGATTAAGTTGACATGGAGATGCATACTAAACTGGAACATTAGTAAATATGCTCACAATCTATGGAGATCATGTGATCAGCATAATATGAAACTGTCAAAACATGGAGATACTGTGGTCAACATCAATATATAATTCGCAAATCATGGAAATATTGTGACCAGCATAAGTATGATCCTTAAATATGAAACTCACAACATGGAAATATTGTCATCAGCATTAATATGGGTTATATCACACTTGCAAAACATGAAAATATCAATTATGAAGAAATATGAAACCAAGATATTGTCATTATAAATATGAAACTTGCAAAAAATGAAATATTGTGATCACCATAAGTATGAAATTCGCAAACCATGGAGATAGTGTGATCAGCATAAGTATTAAACGCACCGAACTTGAAAAAAAACTGATTATCCGAAACATACAAACAAATACATTTTTCGTACATTCACACCAAACCTGTCTGCTGTCCGTTCCCAGTCTACCCCCGACGTGGTATCTGAAGCGTGGACACACGCGGTGTCTGTGTAACAAAGACAACTAGTATTTGCTGAGTAGCATACATCATAAACGTTTTTGTTTTTTAACAGTTTCAACCTTGCAATGGCACTGTCAATATGTCAGAGCCTAGCACCCTCTAAATACTATGCATCACACACATGTCCAATGGAGCACATGAAACACGTTTTACACAGATACCACAGACAAAAAGAAGTATAGTCTTTATTGGTAAGCCAGAATGATAATTTTTATTCAAAATAGTGGCTCTTTGACTTAATCGAACTTCGACAGAAATCGAATGACAGTACAGTCAAGGATTTAATATACGATCATTAATAATATCTTTCTTAAAAACGTAACTCACATATATTATTGACATGCATCAACCAAGTCAGCGAGCCTGACTACCCGATCTTGCAAACATAAATTGCTGGGGACCTATATTCTTACCCGCACAGAGATCCCTATATCCTGTGGTCGTACCAACAAAGCGTCCTACGAAACAATCTCATTGCTGAGATACAGATGTCAAACTTCAGCACGCATACATGTGGGACGGAACCCTCGTCAAGATTGGATTAAGCGTCATTTGTGTATTTATGAACCTGACTACTGTAGTGATTGCTAGACTAGATTAACAGCTTCAGTACGCAGACGCTAAGTGTTGAGTCAATAAATGATGCCGACCAAGCATGTCCAGTGAAGACGGGTGCCACCGGTGGGGCAATATACGCTCACCTGTTCGCGAACACCTGGTATCATTACTATTTGATAGTGATTCATAAACACATGCTCATGACATAGTCGGAATCGTACAATCGACTCTGCTTTATGCAGAGATTTCTATTGGATATGGAAAGGTCAGGCCTCAGTAAGGCATTTAGACCAACATTTAGTCTCTGAAATCTTATATTACACAATATCCTTCTTGACTCTAAAAATAAAAATAAAATTCCCTATGCTGATTTCAATAGAGGATATAGTGGAATAGAGCTAGCTTGGGCTGGCTAGACTTGCTTTTGTATGCATTTCTAGATTATGTTTTTTTCATAAAATAAATATATTCCACGGTCATGGTGCAGGACTATAAGGCATTAATCGGTGGGGGTTAGAATTGGTCCTCAGCAACCTATGCGTGTCGTAGGCGCCTAAATTGCTCGGGTGGTCAGCCTCGGTCACTTGATTTATAAAAGGTCAGCGTGCCCCGACGGCGCGTGACGTTGTTCATACTATCAATCACTGATTTGTCTGACCCAGATTCGATTATTGACATACGGCCGTCAAATTCCTGGAATAATGCTAATTCGTAATTAAACAAAAAACAAACGAAAATGAAAAGAACAATAAAAATATAACTTATAGGTCTTGGGGTATCAAAGATTATTCAGTGAGAAAAGAATCCAGCAAAGGTTAAAAACTGACTTTTTTAGAATTTGAAATATTCTGTCAGGAATTCCAAACCATTTATAGGGAGAGCCTGAGCCATCCCTTTTGTTATCTGAACACACAGATACACCTTGAGGAATGTGACGGGTCGAATGATATCCCAAGCGCTGATTCAGGGAAGTGGCGCTGTGAGAACACGGGAACTCGTTATTGGCCAGGAAATATAATATGTACCCCTATTTGTAAGCAGAGAAATAGGAGGTACATATTTCATTTACTGACCAATAACGAGTTCATGTGTGTGAGAATAACAACATATGTTTGTGAACGGTAAGGTTGAACCTATTCATCTTGGTAGAATTCCCGATAGTGCACAGCTAGACATGTTTAGTATCAGCTGCCACCGACAGGTGGCGCAACGGGATATTCCTGTTGAATAAGACTGGTCGTAATAGTACAACGTGGGGGTTGGCAGTCTTTCTTTGGCTATAAGCTTGGACGCTAACTGCAGTTGATAGCTGGACACATCATCCTCAGCCAGTTACAGCAACAATCTGATTGGTCCAAATAGATGGGTTTTAAGCAAGCATCAATTAACATATTTTACGTAAGAATGTAGTTGGGAAATTTAACATACACTCGTGTTACGTTATTTGCTGCCGGCTTTCTGACTTGACGTAGATTTGACACGGGCGATACTCCATGCGTTCAAGTTGGTATTTGTGTCGTTTTGTCATTCTTGGAGCGTGGTGTTCTACATCCCGCCCACGATAACCATAATAGCTCGTCTGGCAATGTGAGGCAGCAGTTGTTTACCAGACGACTTCCGGTATGGGCCATTCATGAAAAAATGGTCATTCCGTAACAGGTGCGCGTCACGCCATCATTGCATACATTGTGATATATGTCATATATTACCGTTATAGCCAGGCTGATAGCACAGTTCCTACTATGTGGATAGCAGTAAGTAGTTTGACAGTGACGCGTAAACGAAATGAAACCGGTGATGGAAACCCATCGACCATTACAATTAATTAGTTTGGTGTTTTTTTTCCCACGCGATCGGGGAATAGGGACAAGGCGGAAACGGCCAATGCAAAAATGGTTCCGTAAAGAAGACAGATTTTATAGTTACTAATCAATATAGTTTACTGTTACGTGTGAATTCAGATTAAGCTAGATCATGGCATGGCGAGTTGACCGCCACTATCTGTACCGATCTTTTACATCAAACATGTCAATCCGCGTGCGTGCGTGTGTGTGTGCGTATGTGTGTTTTGATTTGGCATTCACTTCATAACCATCGACGTTCGTGGTTACGAAAATTATGCCCCCAGTGAAAATAATGCCAATTAGTGAATGCCATATTTTTCGTAAGTACCAAGTGGGTTATCCTACAAATTAGACCCGTGAAGATCCTGGGTAGACTGGTCTTCAGCAACCCATGCTTGCCGTTAATGCGACTATGCTTGTCGTATAAAAAAGGCTACTATCGGGATCGGGTGGTCAGGCTCGCTGACTTGGTTGATGCATGTCATCGTATCCCAAATGCGTGGATCGATGCGGTGCTTATGATGTCAATTAATGGAATGTCTGGTCCAGACTCGATTATTTACAGACCGCCGTCATATAGCTGGAATATTGCTGGGTGCGGCGTTCAACAAAAAAATACACAATTCTAGTAGTATATACCCCTGACCTATTTGTTACTATAGCTTCGTGTTGTGTTCGGTTCGTGCCAAAGCTAAGGTGATCGTAACTCTCATATTTTAACATAGACTTACGACACTCGTAGCGCTACGATCGCTTTGTGAAATGAGCCCCATGCTACATATAACAGAATGGAGATAAAATACCCTAGGTAATCGAGGATGAGTACCCATAGGCCACCCTGGCCTGTAATATCCTCTTCTTGAACTACGATAACTGGACACACATTCGATTCATAATGGCTTGGACAAGCGTTCACAATATTACAAAATCAATCCTCCATTTGACTAATCAAGACATGAAAACAATTGGATAATCATCAGGATTAAAAAGCGTTAAATAAAGCAAAGACCCTTCCTTGGATAGTAATCAAGCTTTGAGTTAACAAGCGTTCACTGTATTAAAAGAAGTTAATCCTTTATTTGATAGTTAGACTATCATCTAGTCTCTGAAATGAATATTTTACAGAAAAAACTGTTGTTAAATGAAGAAAGTTTCTGGGGTCCTTTTTATTATATTTTATAACTATAATAAAATATAATAAAAACTACCCCAAAAACTTTCTTCATATTGCTGAATCTAGACTTGCCAACACCATAGACTTACATGGGCTGTTAACATTCAACCTTCTTGGTTTCCTTTAATAGAAGATAAAAGCGAAAATAAATACAAATATGCATACTAAATTAAAAGTGAATCATCTTCACCACAATATGTACGAGTAATTGACACGCCCCCTCCCATTGATAAAAGTTATTCTCGTTATGAAACAGGAAGCAAACCTAATTTCAAAATCCAATTTTCCAGATGAATTTCTGCACACAAAAAAATAAATGTCAGTGTGTAATCATTGGTCTAATCTGTGACGCTTAATCCAGGGCAGTGAACAATTTAATATCTAAATGTTTGCGCAAACGTACCCAGTATTTGCCCTGTGGTTATTGCAGAGCGACTACGTCATGTCATTTCAGTTTTAATTTGAATCTATTTAAAGTTATATTATTAAATCTTTGTAAATGTATGTGCGCTTATCATAATTCTCATTACGTTATTGAATGTTCAGAAAATAATATAAATAGGTTTAAGTCATTATTGGACATAGTCAAAGGAGGCGGGAGTCACAACTCTCGAGTGTGTGAGAGTGGTTTTATACCACCTTTAGCAATACTCCAGCACTAACACGGAGGGGAACACCAGAAATGGGCTTCACAAACTATTTGTTTGTTTGTTGTTTAACGCTGCACTCAGCAATATTCCAGCTTTATGACGGCGGTCTGTAAAATAATCGAGTCAGGACCAGACAATCCAGTGATTGACATCATGAGCATCGATCCACGCAATTGGGATCGATGACATGTATCAACGAGCCTGACCACCCGATCCCGTTAGTCGCCTTTTACGACAAGCATAGTCGCCTTTTACGGCAAGTATGGGTTGCTGAAGACCTATTCTCCCCCGGAATCTTCACGGGTTACTTCATCAACTGCATCCACGTGGCTGGCTAATCTATCCCGGGCTTTCGCTTTAACCCCTAGGCTACCCTAAAACTCTGGAACAATTAACCTGAATGATTAACCCTTATGTCAACATATTTCGAAATCTTTCAAAAATCAATTTCATCCAAAGAAATATTTCCCTAAAAAGCCAATTTAGCGTCAATGAAACTTGTGCACATTATCTGTTCATATCTTTATTTATTTATAACCATTTCCGTCAAATATATTTGTATACGTTGTTTACTTCACCAATCTTTGTAAATAAGTGTTTGTTTGGATTTCGAATCGTAAGATTTGTTTGTTTTGTTTGTTGTTTAACGCCGCACTCACCAGTATTCCAGAGATATGACGGTGGTTTGTACGTGATCAGACCAGGACCAGACAATCCAGTGATTGACATCATGACCATCAATCTATGCATTGGATACGATGACAGACATACACCAATCAGCAAGCCTGACCACCAGGTCCTCACATCAATCATGGGTTGATGAAGATCAATTCTAACCTGGATCTTCACAGGTGCATCGTAAGGCAATTCAGGCTATTTTCAATCAACAATCGGGGCGGTGGGATAGCCTTGTGGTTGAAGCGTTCTCTCGTCACGCCAAAGACCCGGTTCGATTCCCCACATGGGTACAGTGTGGTGTCCCCCGCCGTGATATTGCTCGAATATTGCTAAAAGCGGCGTAAAACCATACTCATTCACAAAGTATTATGAATCAAATTTGTTTGTTTTTAATAAACTCATAAATTGAATGCAATCATAAGAGGTTTTAGACCATTTTGTATTTATATAGTACGTTCTGGCTCCAGTATTGAGTACACATAGAAATTACAAATTAAACCAAATATTAAATATGAATCATGTCAATATCAGTTATAAACATTGATGCCATTGCCGGGATATATTATCATGATTATTATATATTTGGTTATATTTAACTACTTTCTACATGCCTTGGATGAAAAAGAGCTCTGAAAAAATCATACAGATAGCATTAAATATCCTTGCAAGAGGAAGTCTCGGTGCGCAAGACGCCAGCGCCCGTCTGTTGCCTCTGTTATGTAATCTGTAATATATCCTGAAGTAAGTTAACGCGCGCGTGTGTCCCGTGAG